GAAGACATTGTCAGCGACCGCGACACTCGTTTCATGTCGGCGTTTTGGACTGCTCTCATGCAGGAGTCCGGCACAACAATGAAACCAAGTTCGGCACGCCTCCTGCACACTGGTTGGATTTGTGGCCACGGTGTACCAGAAGACATTGTCAGCCACCGCGACACTCGTTTCATGTCGGCGTTTTGGACTGCTCTCATGCAGGAGTCCGGCACAACAATGAAACCAAGTTCGGCTCGACACCCTCAGACAAACGGGCAGACGGAGCGGGCACATCAGACCGCTTAAATGATGCTTCGTACGCTCATCCGTCCGGACCAGAAAGATTGGGTTGACCGCCTCCCCGACATCGAGTTCGCCTACAACACTTCGGTGCATCCGGCAATCGGCGTGACTCCATTCGAGTTCCACCACGGTGGACGGAAAGGCCGGATCTTCGCCGACCTTCTCCTCCCTCGACCAGCCGACATTGACGCTGTCTGCTCTCCCTCTTCCGTCCGGAAGTACAGGGAATTGCTGACTCAAGCCCGCGCAAATATGCAAAAGGCTCAAGTCCGCATGCAGCAGCAAGCCAACAGGCATCGCGTACCATGTCCCATCCGCGCCGGTGATCTGGTTTGGGTCTCCGCGGAAGAGTTTGCACTGGAACAGGATGTTTCACGCAAACTGCTTCCCAAGTGGTTTGGACCTTGGTCTGTGACAGCAGCCACGGGCGATGAGCCCAATGGCCCTCCATTTGTGATCAACATTCCAGAGCATCTGACGGTCCATCCGATCTTCCACGCCTCGAAAGCCAAGAGCGACGACTTTCCGGACCGACGGTCGCAGGACCCTCCTATGGATGGCCATCAGGAAGTTGACCGCGTCATCTCCGATCACAAGTACGGCAGCAAGCCGCGGTAGTATAAAGTCACATTCAAAGCATGCGATCGCGRCGACACTCGGTGGATATCAGGCGCAGATTTGAAAGCATCTGCACCGCTGATCTACGCGCATTATGAAAAGCGCAGGTTAGCTCAGGAAGCTTCACGACCAGCCCCTCCCACCCGGACTGTGGTCCCTCCCTCAGACAGATAACTTCGCCCTCGCAGGTAAGTTCGGTTCTTCAAGGAGGGGGGGGTGTGGCATACTGCGTAGCCACACGGGCCCTACAGGGCCCGTCCCGGACATTCAGCCTAAAAGCCTAAAGTTAGGGCTTACAGGCCCCGTTCATTTCAGCCTGGATGCTGAAAAACGAGGACCTGCAGGCCCTACCTCGTTTCAGCCTATTTCTGGGTCTTTTCAGACCCAAAGTTTTCAGCCTGAAACGGAGAGCCATTTTCAAGCCCTCATTGTTTCGACCTGCCCCTAAGACTCAGGCACGGAAACAGGGATGCGGAACAGGCCCAAAATAGTCTGTTCCTCACGTACTTGAGCAGGAGCTGCAGCTGCAGCCCTTGCCTCCCTTCGGCAGGCTCAAGAGGCACACCCGTAGTACATAGGAGGTTCCCATGCACTTCACGGGTAGGTAGTGTCAGTAGGCAGTGGTAGTCTTCAGGATTCGGCCGCA